GGGCTTATGGGCTTATGGGCTTATGGGCTTATGAGCTTATGGGCTTATATGATTATGGGCGTGTGGGCTTATGGGCTTAGGGGCTTATGGGCTTATGGGCTTATGGACTTATGGGCTTATGGAAGTGTGAGCGCGTGGGCGCGTCGGCGCGGCGGCGCGTCGGCGCGTGGGCGTGTGGGCGTGTTAGGAATTGTGAAAGTTCCGAAAGTTTCTAAAACTCAAAATTTTCAGTGGCCACCATCAAGTACATTTTTGCACAGAGTCGAGCAAGAATGCGACGTCGTCTGACTTTTATGATCAAATCCCATACCGGCATCTCCATTGAGAACTTGGAAGACAAAATGTGGTGTTTCCCGGAGTATCGGGTTCTTCGATACTATCGTTACCAGACGAAGGACCTGGAGACACGGCTAAGAAGAGATCAACTCACTGATAAGGCTGGCAAACACATTGAGATATACTTGGACGATGAAGACGAGGCTTTTGACGTTGAGCATTATGTAGAGCCAGTTGAAGTTGAGGAAGTGCAGATTTTGGATCAGCAGGGAGAACCAGTTGGCCGTGATGATGACAGTAGTTCCGTGGAAAATCGGACGCCGCCAAGGGCACAGAATGGCCAGAATGGGCACGTTCCAACGATGCCTTCTAGGAAAAGACGTCCTGCAGAAGACGTCTTCGACCAATCGGGACCACTGCTGCCACCGAATTTTTCTCCGAATCCGAGATCAGCGCCGGCGTGGAATTTTCAGCAACGGCCTGGGCCATCTAATAGCCAAGCTAATTGCCAGCCGACTACCCAAAATCACCAGAATAATTGGTCACAGGTGAACTTTTTTGAATTTTCGACTTTTTGATTTTTTTGAATTTTTTGAAACTTCTTGAAATTTTCAGCAACGGCCCGGTCCATTTTATCCTCAGCCGACTAATCAGAATCAACCGAAAATTCGGCAACAGGTGGGATTTTTAGAATTTTGGGACTTTTTAGATTTTCGGAACTTCCAGAATCCGGCGAATCTGCCTCCCATGAATAGGCCACCGCCAGGATATGTCCCAGCAGACCAACAGGTAAATTTTTTTTTGAAAATTTTTTTTTGAAAAATCAATTTTCTAATTTCCCGCCAAATTCAAAAAAAATTTCCCGCCAAATTCAAAATAAGGTTATTTTTCAGCATCCACGAGCTCCTCCAGCTCCTCAACATAGATCTCAATTGGCTCAGCATATTGTAAGTATACGGTAGTTTCAAATTTTTGGGAATTTAAAAATGTTTAAAATTGTAAAATTTGATTTTCAAAATGTTAGGTTTAGTTTTTTTTAATTTCAGAGCCCACAACAACGAGACCAATTGAGAGAACACTTGCAACAATTGACTCCCCTTCATGTGATTTGAAATTTTTTTTGAAAATTATAGTACCCATAGTACCCATAGTACCCATAGTACCCATAGTACCTATAGTACTCATAGTACCCATAGTACCCATAGTACCCATAGTACCCATAGTACCCATAGTACCCATAGTACCCATAGTACCCATAGTACCCATAGTACCCATAGTACCCATAGTACCCATAGTACCCATAGTACCCATAGTACCCATAGTACCCATAGTACCCATAGTACCCATAGTACCCATAGTACCCATAGTACCCATAGTACCCATAGTACCCATAGTACCCATAGTACCCATAGTACCCATAGTACCCATAGTACCCATAGTACCCATAGTACCCATAGTACCCATAGTACCCATAGTACCCATAGTACCCATAGTACCCATAGTACCCATAAATTTCAAAAATTCCACTGAGCCATTTGTAACACTTTTTTGAAAATGGTCATTTTCGAAGTGTTTTGGACCGTTTT